CTATATTTCGCTATATTTCTCTCTAAAAAATATTACTCAAAATGTCATCATCTTCATCATCCGATTCGACGGCAGTAGAGGAGGCTAAGTTTACCGGTTCCGTCATGGCGAAAATGGTTGCATACTATCAAAACCGACTTGGTGAAACATAACGTGCACGACCTAACCTAAGAAAGCCGCCGTTACATAGAAATCACAAAGCCGGACATGATCGTCTTATAGAAGATTATTTTACAGATGACGCCGTCTACGCTGTAAAGTTTCGACGTCGGTTCCGGATGAGGAATGAACTATTTTTACGTATTGTTGGCGATTTGGAAGGCCACTTTCCATATTTCCAATGGAAAATGGATGCAAGGAGAAAAACGTTTTATCTCCCATTCAAAAATGCACGGCTTCGATTCGTCAGCTAGCATACGGCATGGGCGCAGACAAATGGGACGAGTATTTTAGGATGTTAGAGCGTACCGAGAAAGACTCTGTGTACAAGTTCTGCAAAGCGATCTGTTTGGTTTACAAGCAACGATATTTGCGCAAACCAACTATCAACGATGTCCACCAATTGTATACGGTGCATGAAGGCAAACATGGATTCCCTTGAATGCTAGGTAGTATCGATTGCATGCATTAGAGATGGTCATTATGCCCCAACGCATGGCGTGGTCAGTACATGAGAGGCGACCACAAATAGCCGACGATAATTCTAGAGGATATCGCATCACATGATCTTTGGATATGGCATGCATTCTTTGGTCCAGCTGGTGCAAACAATGACATCAACGTGCTAGACCAGTCGCCTGTATTCAACGATATCTACCTTGGAAAGTCACACGATGTACCTTTTCAAGCAAATGGGGTAGCATATAAGCGTGGATACTATCTTACTGACGGTATGTATCCTCCCTTGTCTATTTTTGTGAAATCATTTACATGTCCTAACGACCCGAAAAGAAAAAAGTTTAAAGAGGCACAAGAGTCAGCTAGGAAGGATGTGCAGCGAGCATTTGGTGTACTTAAGAGACGTTGGCAAGTACTAACGGTCGGGGCAAGGTCATATGAGGTGAAAAGGTTACAACACGTAATGTATGCATGTATCATATTGCATAATATGATTCTTGAAGACGAAGGAAGAGCGATATGCCGATACAACGAAAATGAAGTTTTGCCAAATGTCGAAGGAGTAGCCATTGGTACATAAGAGTATAGGGTGAATAGAAGAGAAGTACACAATCGCGACCTTCATCAGGCCCTTCGTGCTGATTTGGTGGAGCAAATTTATAGGGCTCATATTCAGCCCCCGCGCGAGTTCTCTCACAATGATGATTTGTTTGACGACGAGGATTCTGATATGTTCGTCGAGAGTGAAAATTACGACGACAAGAGTGACGCTAGGGAGAATGTTGCAGATAATCAAGGCGAGGACTAAGACGATGATTCTGAGTGATGTATCTAGGTTTAAATAAAATTAGGATATTAATTAATAATTTTTACTATGTTGTAGTTTGTTTGATTTTTTTTTTTTTTTGCGGTTTTTTTTCTACTTATTTAAATATTAGGGTTAATGTAATTTTTATTTTACTTAATGAAATGTTTTTTATTTTTAATTAAATTTTATGTTTGATATTAATTTAAAAATTATAAATAAAAAAAAATGTAATTTTATTTAAAATAAAAAAAAAAAGTAAGAGAAGGGCTTTCATCCCACTCCTTGACTTTTAGGTGAGGGAAAGGAGAGTCAGGGAAAGAAGGTATGGTCCACCAAAAATAAGGGAACCTTCCCCCTAGGGGCGGAGCTTCAACGTTTGCTTCGAGGGACCGGAAATATAATATGTAAAAAAATTGTTAAGCAGGGGAGCCACAGCCAAAATTTTATATTTTTTGGCCAAAAATATATAAAATGAAAGTATGAAGGAATTGATATTTTTATTAAATAGAAGTGTCGGTAGGATAATTATTAAGTGTCGATTGTATTATTTGTAATGTAACATAAAGTGTGTAACCATCAATAGTCTAGGAGGCTATAATGTAAATATGTGTGTCGTTTTGCAATCAAACGATTGCAACCCAATTATGTAACCGGCTCCTTCGAGCCTATAAATAGGGCCTTCGCCCATATGAAATAAACAGATTAAGTTTGAGTGTTTAATACTTGAGTTGATCTCAAAGTTCTTCCTCTGTTGAAATAGTTTGTCTATTTCTGAATAGCAGAGCCCTATCCAAACTATCCACATAAACATCTAATTATCCAACACAATCCATCGTTAATCCATCTCAACGCATCTTTCAGGTATAATCTTTTCCTAATACTTGTTTATCCGTCATGTTGTTAATTTTGGTATCAGAGCTAAGTTACGTTCTTATTATTTTACACATTCAATCTATCGTCAGTAATAAAATAAACATATGCAACATCGTAAACATAATAATGAAAAATCATTTTTTTTAATACTCATATTTAAAAAGTCATCACCAATAACTAAAATATTTATCATAAGAAGATTTAATATCATAAATAGGTCTCAAGATATTTTCAATCGTTATATTACTCCATGATAGTATCATTTGAGTTTTTCTAACTATTAACTCTACAAAATTTGAAATTTTATTAAAATAATATTCGTTTTTAATAATAATCAAATTAATCAAATTCATGCTTGAAATATATATTTATGTCTAACAAAATTTTAATGAATTGTATTCCTAATAGAAATATTATTTTAAAAATACAACAAATCCATGAATATATAAATAATTCTGAGCAAAATCTCAAGGATTCCTACAAACCTAATAATCAATGTACGGTTTTAAACAATAACTATATTCATGATGTTAGATATTTTATAAGAACTAGTATTAAAATTCGTTACAAGCAAATACGTCATCTAAAAACAAAATTATTTGTATTTTAAAACATATAACTTTTAAATATTAATAAGCATTCATTTGTACTATTACTTCTATCCTTGGTGTGACCATCTTTATTTGTCATCATAAACATTATATAAATAATCATCATCATAAGTTATTCAAGTTATAATTATGAGTTTTTCAAGCGTAAACACAAATAAACAAGAATTAAAATTTTTTCGTAAAACATTAAAACAGTCTAAAAAATTTCTTCTAAATTTAAAAATAGACTCTAACATATCAATAATAAATTGTATATCTAATATTGAAGCAATACAGATAATAAATAATAGTATAAATTGGAAACAAGAACAAATAAAAAACCTTGAAGATAAGATAACAAAATTAATTTGTTAAATAAGTTTCAAAAAATAGAAAAAACGTTAATAATAACTAATTCACTAGAAAAAAGAAACTAAAAATTTTATTTAATATATGGAAACTTTACAAGAAAAAGTAGAAACACTAACTAAATTATTTGCAGCATTAGAAATTCCGTCTGAAACTCAAGAAAATAATATAATAGAAAATAATTCAGATAATGATGACGCAGAAGTAATATATGATTTTTCATCAGATGATGAAAACCCTTATTCAAATCCATATAGAGATTCACAACACAATTTTAGATTAAAACAAAAACAATCATATGTTGAAGATGATTATCAAAGTCAATATATATATGGACCACCTTCGTTAGAAGAAAATTTTTTATATAGACAAGGAATTGTCAAAAATAAACAAAACAAATGGGAAAAAATACCTCCACAATATATACCTAAATTATTTACTTTTCCAACAAATTCAGATATTCTTTTTATTGATTGTGAGCAAAATCCCGAAACAAAAATTCAAGAATTGAGTAATAAAATGGGAATTCAAATTCAACTAACTGAAGAATTAAGAAATCTACATCCAAAAATTTTTCTTAATTATATTATACATAATACACAGGGCAATGCATATCGTTTCCTTTCATCTCTTGATGAAACAGAGACGATGATGATAGCAACCACTGACGCTATGGAAACATTTAAAAATGTATTAAATCGGCTTATTCAAGAATTCATAGGAAAACAAATAGAAGATGAAACATCTCAAGAAGCTTTTCAATTAGAATCATTATGGCATCTAACTAACTTACGAATTTGTAACATGTGTTATTTAAACCCATTTATATGCGAATATTCTGAACATTATTATAATCTAGATTTTACTAGAAAAAAGATAGCATTAGACATGTTTTATCAAAAATTACCATCATTAGTAAGTCAAAGCGTAATAAAAGATTTCCAAGAAGCATTACAACAAAATAAAATTGCAGATACCTTAGGAGCAAGGATAAGTATATTAAAAGCATGGATGCAGAAAAAATGTTTAGAACAAAAAACAACACAAGATGCAAGAATTGATTTATGCTGTGATACCTTGTTTAATAAAGTTAATCAATATGGTTGTAAAGATAATAAAAAACAAAAATATAAAAAGAAAATTTGGAAAAAACAAACTTATAAACCTAAATATAAACAATACTATAAACAAGGTGAAAGAGAATATTTTCGAGATAGAAAACAATATAAGAAAAATATCAATCTAACACAAATTACTGTCCATCTAATAAAAAAGATTGTAAATGTTGGATATGCCAAGAAGACGGACACAAAGCCTACGAATGTCCAAAAAAGACTAAAAAAGAAAAAGAAACAAACTTATTAAAAATTGCATATGATCTCGGGTATGAACCTATAGAAGATTCAGGAATAGATTCAGATATAGATATTTATGCATATACAACTGATACTGATTCTGATTCGGGTAAATAGTCCTATGAAGAAAGCACTATTGGGTTGAGAACATGAGGGAAACCTCATATCTAACCTATCCAAAGTATACATTGTTAAAGCATATATTGGTATGAAAATACCATCCAAAGTAAAACAATGATAAAGTATACAGTGATATGAAAATATCACCAAAGCATACATTGATATGAAAATTCTCATATCATCATTTAAAATATTAAAAGCAAACATCTTTCAACAATTATTCAGGTACCCAAAAGGCACAAATATTCATTCAGCAGAAATATTGAAATGGAAGCCATCATGAAGCAAGTCAAACACCAGTTCAGACAAAAAGAGGAACAAGAAGTATCATTAATCAGACAGCTTGAAGTAGTCAAACGTGAAAAAGAGCAATTACAACAAACAATACAAATTCTATCATCTTATTCAGCATCTAAAGAAGAAGCAGCCAGCAGCTCAACAACAAAGCAACCAAAAGAAGAAATTCAAGAAATATCATCCGATGAAAGTCAACCACAAATAGCACTCGAAACAGAAAAACAAACCATGACGCCAAACCAGGAGGAGTATCCACCACTACAAGCAGATCATAAAAATATAAAGAAATGGTACGTAATTTTCAACGGAGAAAACAAAGGAGTATATGACGATTGGGGAATCGCCAGTTCATATATTCTTGGAAAAAATATCATTCATAAAAGTTACAGAATGAAAAATGAAGCAGAAACCGCATACAACGAGGCATACAAAGCAGTAATAAAAGATAACGTCGAATGTTCAAAAACAGTTCTCCTAACACCACAAAAACATATATCCAGCTTCACACCACAAAAACTTGTATCCATCCCAAGATCCCTTAACTAATTAAATGCAAAAATTGCCCTTGAATCCATTCTATCAACCAAAGAAAAAGAAGCCATGAAAAAACCATCTGCCAAAAAATTTGCCAAATTATGGGACAGCCTCATTTCATACACCGAAGTCCATTCCTTGATGGGCTTTTACCCAGTAGCTAGACGCCCAGGTCCTAAAGCAGTTTTCTTAGCCAACTTATCAGATCCTATGACTTTATGGGATTATTTTATTCATGGATTCATCGACACCATCTATCTAGAAGGCACCAATTTACACTGCATCAGCGAGTTCCCTTCTGTTGTGCAAACTATCATCAGAAATTATAAAACACGATTTACAAACACAGGAAAGAGGATTATTCATTAAAATGCATTCTAGCTATCCAATTTTTGATGAAGACTCTCAACTAATTGTCCCAAGTATTACTTTCGCAAACATGGGAATAAGAAACGGCTCAAAACCAACAAAAGATGATCTACCACGAGAATCACCAACACAGGATCATCTAATTTTTGCACTCGCCGGTGTCTATTTGGCATCATCACGCATAGGCAACGGTAAAGATCAAAGGTCAAGAATCAGAGTGAATTACGCCAATAAAACTTTCATTGTCTATTCATTAACAGATAGTGAAATCACTCCGGAAGCAATGAAAGCAATTGAAACCTTCGAACAACCTTTCGAAAAGTTTTCTCATCAATTAGCTGAATTACCTGCTGATATCAAAAAACAACTTTGTAATCATATTATGCATGCACCAAGACACAATTGCAGTCACTGTTCAGAAAACACTAAAGAAACACCATTCATGGAAGATTAACAATAAAAGAAAACATTTTTTCAAAAATATGTCTTTTTGGAGGCGGGAGGAATGACGCAAGCAATGACGTAAAAAGCCATTATTGAAGCCATTATTAAAGACACCTGTCATTTCAACATAGAAGGAGAAGGAATTGTTATTTTTATTAAATAGAAGTGTCGGTAGGATAATTATTAAGTGTCGGTTGTATTATTTGTAATGTAACATAAAATGTGTAACCCTCAATAGTCTAGGGGGCTATAATGTAAATATGTGTGTCGTTGAGGGTTACACACTTTATATTACATTACAAATAATACAACCGACACTTAATAATTATCTTACCGACACTTCTATTTAATAAAAATAACAATTCCTTCTCCTTCCACGTTGAAAGGACAGGTGTCTTGTCCCTGCCGATATGGGACAACGCGAGTTTTGCCACATAAACGACTCCCAGGTTCTTGTCCCACGCGAGTTTTGCCACATAAACGATTCTTAGGTTCTTGTTACATTACAAATAATACAACCGACACTTAATAATTATCCTACCGACACTTCTACTTAATAAAAATAACAATTCCTTCTCCTTCTATTTAACGAACAGAGATAGATTCAACAACCTTTGGAAGATCAATTGCTGTTAGATGCCTCCTCAAAATCCACAATAGGGAGGTGATGAAACAACATAAGGAACAAAAAAAAAAGAACTTTACTGTGCAAGAAATTCCCCCCCCCCCCCCCTTGCTATCTTGCCAAATTAACCACGCAAATGAAAGATACCGTTCGTTTCAACCCACTACCCGCCAAAAAAAAAACCGGGGTCCCACACAGCAAAAGATACATGGCCATTAGCCGCGCTCCTTACCCTCGCTAGTTTGTAGTCTCTACACATTTATTGACTGAACATGTCGCCGTTGGTATCGATCTCCGGTGGCGGAAGACTTCCGATCGTACTTACCACATCCACAATAGCCACGACTTCTTTCCGACGCTTTTCAACTTCATTTGCTTCTCTGGCATCACCACAATCTCCATCACCTCCGCCGCAACCCAAGTCACAGTCAAACATATCTTCCTCTAAAACACCTTTTCCCGTCGATTCGTCTTCCAAAGCTTCTGATAACAACTTGAATTACGCGTTCGCAAACCCTAACGGAAGTAATCCTGCTTTGCAGTCTGTGAGGTCAACAGAGTCCAACATTGAAAAGGTATGCCTTTTATGCTGACTTAACTGTTTTATATCAGGGTTTCAGTGAGATTTCGGGAAATATAATGATTTTTGTGTATGTATTCGTTGGTTTACTTGATATATGTCTTCGTTTCGTTTGTATTATGTATTTGCTCCAGAATCCCTATTTTATGACGAACATCGAAAATGGATGTCATAGAGATGCAGTTGAAACTCTGTAATCCTGTTATTAATTCGATTTGCCAATTATTTTATTCATACCGATGAAAATCTTGAAAGAAGGCAAAAAAGAAGATTGAGAAATTCCTTAATGATTTGCCAATTATTTTATTCATAACTACTTACATTCTTGAACTGTATTTGGCAGGTGATATTTGACTTCCGATTTTTGGCACTTTTCGCAGTTGCAGGCTCTTTAGCTGGCTCCTTATTATGCTTCCTAAATGTAATCATCCTTAAACTCACTTATGTATATATTTATATCTGTTTTTCCTTGATACGATAGAGTAAATAGGTGATGCTTTGCTGACGTCATTAATTTTTCCTAGGGTTGTGTTTATATTGTTGATGCATATAAAGTCTACTGGACAAGCTGTTCGAAAGGAGTTCATACAGGAAAGATGGTGTTGCGTTTAGTTGAAGCGATAGGTGAGTTTCTCACAATTTTACTTTACTATTTTTTTTTTTCTATTAGTAAATTTAATAATATATTTTTCTTTTTTTTTAATCTGGATGCAGATGTTTATCTAGCTGGCACAGTGATGCTGATATTTGCAATGGGTTTGTATGGATTATTCATCAGTAATGCACCTGGTAATGTAGCACCAGCTGATGATCGTGCTCTCAAAGGATCCACCTTGTTTGGGATGTTTGCTTTGAGGGTAAGTCTTAAAATATCAACATACTTTCATTTATTTAGAGTAAATTACACGAATGATCCCTATGGTTTGGGGTAATTTGCAAGTTTGGTCCCTAACTTATTTTTTTTAACTCGGAAGGTCCTTACAATTTGTTTTTGTTACGCGCTTAAATAGGGAAAAACGGTGAGGTAGGTAAGGTAAGATGAAGGGGGTGGGTTCGGGGTGTGTTTATTTAAATAAATTAAAAAATCAAGGGCAAAATAGTTTCTTTAGGTAAGACAGTGACCAAACGCGTAATAAAAACAAACAGTGGGAACCTTCCGAGTTAAAAAACTAAGGTAGGGACCAAACGTACAAATTACTCTAAACCATAGGGACCATTCGTGTAATTTACTCATTTGTTTATCATATCATCCAATAGTAAAATGCTATAGTAAACAAATAGATAAAAATACGTTGTTATTTACGCATTTAGCCACATATAGATATATAGATAGATAGAGATATTGATATCAGTCTCAGTCGCAGTTCTACCTGTTATGCCAAGTCTAATGGAATCTGATTGACTTTTAGGAGCGACCAAAATGGATGAAGATAAGTTCGCTTGATGAATTAAAGACAAAAGTGGGACATGTCATTGTAATGATTCTTCTAGTAAAAATGTTTGAGAGGAGCAAAATGGTGACCATAGCAACTGGATTAGATCTTTTAAGCTACTCGGTTTGTATATTCCTATCATCGGCTTCTTTGTATATTCTTCACAATCTTCACAAAGATGAACCCATATAATTAACTTGGTACAAATGGAATGACAAATATGTTGGTAGAACGATTCATGTGTATTGTTACTTGGAGTTATAGTTTAGCTAAAAGGAAATTATATATGCATTACTTGTAAATTTTTATCTTCTATGAAGTCTTGCTTCTTGTATATTTGGGTCTAGTCGGCTACACTTGGTTAATTATGTTTTTTATTTTTTGAGAAAATGATAAATCACATTTGGAAAAATGAAAGGAAAAATAAACTAGGACAAATTTACAAGTATAAAAAAAGTCTTTTTGTCCTCCTTTATTTTTCCTTTCATACAAGTCACTAATTTGAAGAATTTACAATCCCTTAAAAATACCCTAATACGTTACCTCGAGAGTAAGAAGCAGTCTTAAATTCGTAGTGCATGCATAGTGAGACAGTATATCTAGAATATATAAAAAAATGTTACTCATTAAAAAATTTGTGACTCGTGATTCCTTACTCATTCACCATTACAATTTACAATGGTCATTTTGTTAAAATCTGAAACAAAGTGCTGAAAATTAATCTACTAACTATTATACTCATTTTAACGGACACAAATTACAAAGCTACCATATTTTGTTCAATTTACTGTTTATTTTGTCAAATTTATGGTTTAATTATATATTTTATTTTCATTGAAAGCAAAAGCCTTGCTACATTGAAGGTAGGTAGGTCCTAGGACCTACCTAATTTTCTTAATATTAGTAATATTAATATAAAATATATATAAAAAAATTGGTGAACTATCTCATTAGTGTTATAGGATCTACCTTGTAATTTTTGGGAAAAAAAATATACATCAACCTAAATTTTATATATTATAGTTTAATTAAAATAGTCCACTACCTCGATCCATTTAAAATTTATTTATTGGGCAATAGATCAATAATAAAAGAAAACTTCACGAAATGTGATCATTGATTGAAATCTCCTAACGTTTGACACCTCATAAGGTTCTTGCATGTCTGGCCGTTAGATCCTTCTGTCTGTCGTCTGGCCACCGACAACCATTGTCCTTTCACCGGGTGCCACTTCTTCCTGCTTATATTTTATATATTTCAATTTTTGAATGATAGTTTAATATCATATATTAAAACAAGTGTTTTAGAAAGTATCGATAATGATATAATTATTAATATATATTTCAAGATATAAAAACTATTATAAATATTGAAGTTATGTTTAATTATTTTAAGTTATACAACCCGATCCGATATCATTAGTAATTTTTACTCTTTTATTTTTTTTAGTTTTATTTACATAAGTAACCACGTAGTTTTTGGTTCTAGATTCGCCACTTATTGAAAAGCCGATTGTTTTGAAAAAAAAAAAAAAACAAAAAAAAAAAAACTTTAGTCTTGACTACAATAACATCTTATTACCAGTTTAGTAGGTTACCAATACATTTTAAAGAATTTCCTTTTCTAACTGATCCACAATAACAATTTTCTTTTTTATTATATTGGGATAGTCTTTTTGTTAGACTATGTTTTTCAAATTAGAAAAAAATGTTAAAAGTGGCATTTTGTTATATTTATTCATTTATTTGTATTTATTTCTTCCTTTATTTGTATGTTTTGTATTTGTATAGGAATGGTTTCCTGGTTCTCCTAATAACAACTTTTTTTTGATGGTTGGACTTTACCCCAAAACATATACTTCCATATCCTTACTTTGATTCTTTCTCTTTTCAATAAACTTTCGACATGAATTGCATTTTGAAACTTCCACACTTTCCAATTCCGTAAATAAAAAAATTCAAAAGATAAAATAAAAGCTTCATATGTGTTTTACCCTTCTATAAATAAATAGATTTAAAACTAAGACATTATGTTAACATCTATATATTTTTACAGTCATATTCAGGTAATTAAATTTGTGTTTTTTAGTGTGAACAATCACCAAAATATTTCGTTGAGCGATATGTCTATGGTATGTGGCATTGGGTTTTTGGTGGTAGCAGCCACAAACACAAGATACATAAAATCATTGTGGTTTTCTTCTTCTTCTAATTTCTAAAAAAAAAGGACAAAAAATAATGTCTTAACATCTATTTTCTAGTTTTAACAACTTTAAAATAAATAAATATATATATAAAAAAATAAGGCCTTTACCAAAATAGGAAAAAAAAAAAAACAAGTTCTTATTGCGATAAAAATAGAAAAATATTGTTAGAGTTTTGTTGTTTTAGTTAAAAATAAATTAAACTTCATTAAAATAACCTGTTAAATTGCTAATATAAGTTCATGTTCGTAATATTTTTGGGTTATTGTTTTAAAAAATTATTATTTTGTTATAGCTTATGGAGAAGTTTCAATTTTTGTTTTTTGAAAAACAAAATCTTGATTATTAAATATTTTGTCCAAATTAAGGGAATAGTCTTTATTAGATGAACTTTTTTTTGTTAAAATTAGATGAACTATTTTGTTAAACATAAGAAAATACAATGATTAAATTAAAAAAAAAAAAAAAAAAAAAAAAAAAAAAAAAAGGAAAAATATTATGTTTTTATGTAGTTCGCCTTTTAATAAATAACTTCATAAAATGCGAAAATTATTATAAAATTATAACATACAATTATCGGAAAATACGATTCTATTTCCGGAATCCGGACAATTCCATTGTACACCACGCGAGAGAATACGACCGTTCCTTTCAAACTGCTACCCGCCACAAAAACCCAAGCCCCACCCTCCAGAAGATACATAGCCGCCACTACCCTTCCCTCGCTCCCCTCAATCTCTACACACACTTCTCTCCCGGAAAATGTCGCCGTTAGTATCCATTTCCGGTGGAGGACCATTTCCGATACTTCTTTCCACCAAATCCACCTCCCATTTCCGACGTTTTTCCACTTCATTTGCTTCTCTGGTCCCACCACAATCTCCTCCACCTCCGCCACAACCAAAGTCAAAGTCAATCCCGTCTTCCCCCAAAACGCCTACTGTCGTCGATCCGTCTTCCAAACTGTCAGATAACAGCTTCAATTACACGGTTGCAAACCCTAACGGAAGTAATCCAGTTTTGCAGTCCGTGAGATCTACCGAGTCTAACATTGAAAGGGTACGTTTTTCGTTCTGCGACCTAATTTGTTCTTATTATATTAGGTTTTCAGTGAGATTTGGGGAAATATGATTATTTGCTTAGGTATATGTGGTTGATGTTGCTATGTGTGTCCGTTTCTATTCTGTATGTGCTCCAACGTTGAAATTTTATCATGAGATTCTGTAAGCTGTTAGCAGTTCATTTTTTTGTTTCTTTTATCCATTACAGCTTATTTCTTCCAATCAATCAGCATCGATCCACAATTTTAATGAGCTAGTCCTGTTCTCTAATGTTAGAACAATTCTCCAAAACAGAAGCCATTCAAAGTGATTAATCTGCTAGTTATTGTACTTTCGGTGGAATTATCTATAAAGAATGACCATGGATTCTCTTGCAGTCTTGTAATACATCCATTTGTTTCCATGTCTGCTACTGAACAGGTGATATTTGACTTCCGGTTTTTGGCACTTCTGGCTGTTGCAGGTTCATTAGCTGGCTCGTTGCTATGCTTTCTTGATGTAATAATTCTCTCTACACTCATTTGTTTTAGTGAAATTATCTGTAATTCTGTTTCCTGTGTCTCTATTGTTATGTTTGGATGAATCAAAGTGATCCTTACTTATTTGTATGTTCATAGGGTTGTGTTTATGTTGCTGATGCATATAAAATCTACTGGACAAGCTGCTTGAAAGGATCTCTTTCAGGAAAAATGGTGATGCGTTTGGTTGAAGCAATAGGTGAGTTTACTAGCTTCTACATTTTGTCCCCATAAAATTTTGAAAAACAAAAAACAGTAACTATTTACGTTTAATCTGTAATCTGTATTATTTTCAAGTAAAGGTATTTAAAAAATTGCTTGTATTTTTAAAATCTGAATGCAGATGTTTATCTTGCTGGGACAGTTATGCTGATATTTGCAGTGGGTTTGTACGGATTATTCATCAGTAATGCACCAGATAGTATAGCACCAGAAGATGATCGTGCTATAAAGGGTTCTTCCCTATTTGGGATGTTTGCTTTGAGAGTAAATTCTTTTTTAGCACTTTTTACTTTACATTATAACATGCTTTTGTACAGTGTTTGACCTGTATTGGATTTGGAATGGGACCATAACCGATGACAGTGAGACAAAAATTGCAATATTTTTTTCATCAAAAGTGGGACACCATGTGATAGAACAGACTGAACTGTGTTTATTGTGTTTGGTGCACGTTCGACTGCGACCATAATGAATAGGACAAGACAGAACATGGTACTGTGTTTGACACTGATTCCAATGCCAATGGGACTAGAAGATGTACCAAAAGGTTGTCATGTCGGATGTAACAAACATAGCATAAATAGTTTATTTGTGTAAAAGATGTGGGGATATATAGTTAATTAATTAATTTGATTGGATTGAAGGAGCGACCTAAATGGATGAAGATCAGTTCGCTTGATGAATTGAAGACAAAAGTTGGTCATGTAATTGTTATGATTCTTTTAGTAAAGATGTTTGAGAAGAGCAAAATGGTGACAATTTCGACTGGTTTGGACTTGTTAAGCTACTCCGTTTGTATATTTTTGTCATCTGCTTCTTTGTATATTCTTCACAATCTTCATAAAGATGAACATAAATAACAAACTTTATTTTAATCACTCAAATGTCTTATCATTTAACGTTATAATTTTGATAATGAGAATGGGGGGAGAATTTACGTTTTCCACGCATAATTAGATGGGACAAATTATTTTGTATCCTATCAACATTGAAAAGTCGAAATTAGTTTTTAAATAGAAATTAGTTATTACATTATCTATGTTTATTTATTAAACTTATTTATTACATTCTAGTTCATTAAAGTATTTATGTTTAAAAATACTTCATTTGTACATTCAGAAATTTGATAATTTGAATCAAATTATTTAATATATTTCGTTTTTTTAAACGGAAAGATGTAGGATAGAACTTGGGGCAACTTTATTTATAGCACTTAAATACAAGGTGATAAAAGTGTTAGGTCAATTTAATGTCTAAACTATTTAAATACTCAATAAAAGTTAAATTTATGTGTTTTTGTAACATCCCAAAATTTATGATCAAAAATTTTATTTTTAATATAACTAAAACACATTT